TCTAAAGCGTCAAAGACGAACTCGCTGTCTTCGTCGATGAGACTGGCAATAGCATCTACAAGGTTGAGCCAGGTATCTTGATAGAACTGCACTTTGTTAGTATTGATCAAGGTTTTCGACGACCAATCATACCTTCAGAAGCGTCTCGCGGTTGAGCGCAGCATAGATTGTGTCTAGACTTCCAGATAGAGAGGCAGAACCCATGGAAGAAGAAATGTCGGGCTCGAACCTCAGACGGGCATACTCTCGGAGCGACGCTAACCAAAGAGGAGTCAACTTTGCGATGTGTGGCTTCAGTACATCCACCAAGTAGGTTTGCTCGGCACTCGCAATCTGCAGTTCTGCCCACGCTGAGAAGACTGCCATTTTGACCATGACTTGAGCGTTCGAGCTGAGTCCTTTGAGATCACCGATTGCTGCGGTTTCGGATTCGCTGGAGAAGTTCTCAAGCGCTGAGACGAGCAACTTGAGGATACGACCCATTCGATCTACATCTGTAACGATTCCGGTAGCAATGAACGTGGCGCATACGTTGACAGCTTCAGCGGCGAGCTCAGGCGATGAATCTGCTGCAAACGCTGGGGTAAGAGCCGAACCGATTTGAGCTTGGTACTGCTCAAGCAAAGTGACTTCAGCGAAGTCGGGATCGGGTGTTTTGCCGAATAGCTTGAGCACTTGGTCGATAATCTTCAAGCCGCGAATCCTCAGTTGTACTACACCGGCGGTCGATGCAGAGAAAGCGATGCGCACAACATCAGCAACCCTCTGCTGTAAGGCCATGACACAGAGTGACTCCTCTCTGAATGTGGCCTCTTTGCTCACCATCGCGACAAGCTCGCTCAAGCAATCCATACCGAATGTTCGCACTTGCCACTTGAGTAGTTCCTGACTGACTTGAGCGCCATCTCCAGCCTCAGCCCCAGGCGCATTAGACGCTGATGCAAAGCCCGCGACTTCCTCGTCCTGCAAATCAGTCGCTCCCGCTTTTGGCTTCGATTCGATCTTGTCTTGCGTCTCGACCTTCTTCGTTTTAGTGAGTACTGAGTGACATCGCTGCACCCATGTCGCGGTGTCCGATAAGCCAGTTTGATGCAGCCAGTTGCGGATGATATTCCGCACTACTTCATGCTCAGAGTCACGATCGAGAACATGCCACAGCTGATCTTCCAGACCGGGATCGGCAGCGCGTATGACTTCCTCCGTGTTGCGCCTCATGAGGTTGTGTAACCCGTCGATAGCCATGTCTCGAATTTGTGTTGAGCTGCTTTCAACCGCCCGTTGCAATTGTTTCACATAGGCTGAGAACTCCATGTGGCCAGGCGCGTATAGCGAAATATGTTCCTGGCAACGCAGACTCTCGATGATGATCAGCTCATCCGCATCGCCCTGGAAGAGGCCTACAAGAGTCATGATCAGATCTCTTGCCTTTGCAACATCTTGCAGGTCCGGCCCAAGCACGTTGATCGTGCTGTCGACGCATCGTGCGATTACGGCGGGGGTAGGTATGTCGATCTCAATGTTCGAATATGCCGGAGACATCGATTCATCATTGTGTGTGTCGGCAGCATACAGTTGCGCTAGCATGCCGAGCGTACTGGTGACATAACTGGAGAAGGATAGACCGGCAGAGTCAGCAACCCTCGATAGACTGTCGATGGCCCAGAAGTGCACAACCGGATGGGGATCATTGCCGAGCGACATCAGTATTCCAAGTATATTCTTGAGATGAAAGCCAGCAGCCATACCACCGAGCTGAGAGTGTATACAGCCAAGCGCGACAGCATACCCAGAACGAGCATTGGGTTCCCGATTAGCGACGATCTGATCGACCAGGTAGTTTACCTCAGTGGTGGTGAGAGCGTTTCCAGAGCTGTTGCACAGACGACCCAAAGCTTCACTAGCAAGGTTGCGGATGAACGGGTCGGGAAGGACAACGAAAAGATGCAACAGATCCTGCATCACCTTTTCGACCGCCGGTCCTTTCAGACTTCCTGGAGCTGAGCGGGTCTCCTTGACTGCAACCTTCAGAGCAGATAGCACCGCATATGCAATGTTGACCATCATGGCCGTCTTTCTGTTAATATCGCGTTGCAGGCTACTCGCAGAAAGGAATGATGTCATCTGCTCCAAAATGCTTTCTTGGATCCTGGCAGTTTGGAGTGGTAGACATATCGCAAACAACTGAAGTGCCGAGTTGACGACTTCAGTTGCTGGTGGATCGGGAAGCTCATGGCTCTCGTCTGGTGTTCTGATGTACAAGGATATCGAATCGTGTTCACGAGCACCACAGATGGGTGATAGAAGCTGGGCTGTGTTAATGATGCTCTTTCGGGATTCAGCGGATACATACCGTGCGGTCAATAATCGACTCAGGTCCATGCCTCGTGAGCCAGTGATGGTGGGTACCAGTCTCTTGCTCTCCAGGAAGAGGTGTGATGTCGAAACCACGCACCAGTCCAGTGACACCGAAGCCATGGTTGTCAGCCACCTCCCATATGCTTTCGAACGTTCCTGCAGCACTTGCGATTGCCGTACTAAATGAGCTTGTGGTATAGTTGTCCGGCTCTGCGAAGGATGCGATGGCGAAAGGTAACAAGTTTGTCTGGAGTAACACCTCATGGCTACTTGCTGGACTCAGCTCCACAAGTTTAGTGTAACATTGAAGCACTCTCCTCCGGACCATGAGATCAAAGTCGTGAAGTTGAAGTGCGGGTGACAGACGTTGAGACATATCATCCGTTGTCTTCTTAGCCGGTAGGGTATTCAGGAACATTGTTGTATTTTGCAGCATCGCTGCCAGTCTTTTCGTAACGTCAAGCGTTAAGATGCGGCTGTTGAACTCCAAGAAAGTCAAGATAGAGCCTAAAGCGCACTCCCGCACATGTGCTAGGAAGCAGAGTTCTAGGTAGTTCCTTTGTACCATGTTGTCTCTGTTTAGGGGTTTCGGAAGCGCATTCTTCCATAATAGGAGTAATTGGGAAAGGTGTATCTTGACAAAGTTGGGACCAAGAGTCATCAAGCCTCCGATCAGGATCCATGCAACTTGAATCTGGGTTGACCCAATCCTCAGATCTGAGTTGCTCGCCGACTTGAGGAGTGAAGTGGCTTGTTGGAGTACTCTCGAGTTTACATCTACGGACCCATGGAGTGGTTGAGACGTAGACGTGCTGAGAACAGCAGAAAGGCCGTTCGCGAGACCAACGCACTTTCTGGGTGATTGTCTCGGTCCAGCAAGAAGACCAAGCTCTCGGTTGACGCTGTTCATGCAGATCGTAACTGCTGGCAGTAACTGAAGTGGACACGCAAGTACAAAAGAGCGCAGACAGGCGGAAGCGGTCACCTGAACTGTGTAACTCGGATGCTGCAGGACCTGGAGGAGTGCATCCCGGCAAGAGTCCGCAATGACATTTGTAGCGGATCCCAAACTATTGAAGAGTGAGGACAGCGTACTCAGTGCCCCAATCAAAGTTTGCTTTGTTGGCTCTGGTCGTTCTTTCAGCGCCTGTGGGTAGTCTTTCAATATCTCGTTGACCAAGAACCTTGCGGCATTGAGCTGGCCAGATTCTCCAAGCATCTCGCGGCCAATGACTGTCTCCAGTATGACTGCAGCGAACTTCCTAGTGCTAAGTGTACGGTAGCGATTCTGTACAATGACATTGTTGCTGAGAATGTCCGTGAATAGGCTGCGCGCGATCTCTGGATATTTGGTCTCGACGATCTGCTCGCCCAGCCCCTTGATGGTCTTGATGTAGCACACGGCAATTCCAGCTCGTGCGCGATTGCCAGCCTGGGGTCGACAGTATTGTGTCGCAAGCAGTTTGAGAAGACTCGCGATGGTGAAGGAGAGTTGGTAAGCCGACTTCTTGGGTGCCGGAGACTCTGAGCGCTCCATAACCACATCATCACCGTCGTCGTCGCCCGGTTTTCTGTTCTTCTTTTTCTTCTGTGCGGTCGACGAACGGGTAATGCCAAGAATGGGGAGGTCAACTGGCGCGTTCTCAGAGTAGTTCTTCACCAACGCAGCGCTGATGCACGATGCAACCGCGCGTCTCACGGACGACGAGGGACTATCGATCGCCTTCCAAGCTACATTCTGCAATTTATCGAAGTCGTTCGAGTTGTCGAAGAAGGTCGTGTGCCGGAGTAGTTGCTCCAGACAGTAGAACACCGCTGTCTGAACAAGGTAGGATTTGTCGCTGCCAGCATTGCGCGCCTGCTTCCACGCGTCTCTCGCAATGAGTTCATCAGCGTGCGAGCTAACGCCTTTGAAGACCTTGCCCACAGCCTTGAATACTGCCGCTCGTAGTCCAGTGTAGTTCTGCGAGAACTTGATGAGTCCCAGCAGCGACTTGACAGCCAGTGGGGATAGCCCTATAGCGCTATCGCCTGCGGCCTCGAAGATGGCACCCAAGCAATGCACAGCCGCATGCTTCGTCCTAACATCCTTCTCGCTCTTTCCTGCCGCGTTGATTATGCCAACCGACTCATTGATAGACTCAAACAGCAGCTTCCTGTCTCCTTTTTCGAATATGCCCGCAATTGCTCGTCCCAAGTTGTTTCGGATCACTCGTGTGGGGGCGGGGGACGCGAGGTTGACGATCTGGAATATCTCCTTCTTGATGTATATCTGGTGGGCCGAGGCGCCGTCGCCATCTAGGGAGGCCACATGGCGGGCGAGATCGGAACTGAAAGTCAGCAAGTAGAGGTCTTGCTGTTCCGAAGGTAGCGCGTGGAGCTTCTTGATGTCGAGTTCAGGGTTGGAGGGGCCTTTGTCTGCCGCTGGCTCGTCTGCTGCCATGGCTGGTGAGGGGATCGCGTGGCGTCGGTCTCGTTATCGCAGTTATCGCATCCGGCTGCTGATGTCGTAGCGAGTCTTGACGTGACGGATGTCCAGTGTGGAGATGTCGGTGGATGCATGTGGGAGTTGCGGACCCCCGTCTTGGCAGGCACGCATCTCCAACTTTTGTACTACTACAAGTCAACAACCAATATCTGCCTCCATGTCTGTCCCGTTACGACGCGCAGTGCTGTCTGCGTTTTACAAGGAGAATGCGACATGCTGCTCCTGCAGATATGTTTCTCGTCCGAGACAGTGGCGCATGCAAGAGCAGGTGCGATGCTTGAGCACCACCCCAAATCTACAATCAGGCCACTCGTACGTCGCCTTCACAATCCAATGGCACACGGCTAACCTACCACAGCAAGTGGTCTTCCATCAAACATGACAAAGCCAAGAATGACGCAGGCAAGTCCAAGCAACGGTCTATCATGACCCGCGACATCACCAACGCCGTCAAGCTCGGTGGCCCGAATCCCGACATGAACCCCCGCCTCTCCCTCGCAATCTCGACCGCAAAGAAGTCCGCCGTGCCCAAAGCCTCTATCGAAGCCGCCATAGCCCGCGGACAAGGACTCTCCGCATCGGGTGCTGCCCTTGAATCACTTTTACTCGAAGCCATCCTGCCGCCCTCCGTCGCCACAATAATAGAATGTCAAACGGACAACAAGTTGCGCACCCTAGCCGACATACGACTACTCATAAAAGAGGCAGGCGGCAGCATCTCCACCGTAGCGTTCATGTTTGAAAAGAAGGGACGGATAATAATACGGAAGAAAGATGGTGTAGGCGTAGACGAGGTGCTAGAGCCAGCCCTTGAAGCCGGCGTGCTGGATGTAGACGAAGATGCCGAGGGAAGAGTCATGTTATACACCGAGCCTGCGTTGACGAACAAAACGGCGGAGAGACTGGCGAAGGAGCTAGATGTAGAAATTGAGGAGAGCGAGATCATCTATGATCCTAACGAAGATACCAAGGTGCCTCTGGAGGACGAGGGCGCGGCCAAAGAGTTGGGCAGCTTCTTGGATGAGCTGCAGGAAGTGCAGGGTGTACAAGGGGTGTATATGAACTGGACCAAGGGAAGCATAGGAGATGATGTCTGGGATGAGATAAGAGGCAAGGTCACTGCGTGATCTGTCTCTGACTCTCCAGCCTGGTGTACATTTTGTAGTATACAGTATTGTACAATAACGCCAATAGCGGCGCAGAACGAGCTGTGTCTTCGCGCTTGGTATCTCTCAGCAAATATCCACCACCTCAGATCGTGACTTCTCGTTCGCTCGTGTTCGTGGCTCGGTGCCTGTCATAGGGTGTTGTTCGTGTGCATCCAGCATGCTGTCCCGACCTCTCTACTCCTCCCTGCCGGTGCCCAGTTCCCTCAACCTCTCTTGCTCCTCCCTCCTCCTCTTGTTCTCGAGATTCCTCTGCTTCAACCTCTCCAATTCCTTTGCAATCTCGTCTCTGTCGTACGGGATCTTGTGTGTTTGGCCTGGCTTGGGCCAGAAATCGGGAACGGTGAATTTGCCGTCGAGGTTCGTGCCGAAGTAGTACATGATGCTGATTGGGAAGAGAATGTACATCCCGAACTGGAAGGTCTGGTCAGTGTATGCTCAAGGGTATTAGGCTCGATTTGGTTGGAGTGCAGGTGGAGTGCAAGTGGAATTACTGGTGTAGTCGCTTTGGGCTTCAAAGCGCGAGGCGCTGTAGGGATACTATCTACGTACCTTGAACACTTCGAGGTTGGGGCCACCCATCGTTGCGGTATCTAGTCGACGTCGTGTGGTATCTGCGGCGCACTCCGGAGACTTTCGCGCTTGAGTGGAGTGATGATGGAGTCGAAGTTTCGCAGATCTGATCGGTGATGGTTCGGCGATAAGAGGTTAGATCTAATCTTCAGCCTTACCTCCGTGCGTTTCCCCACTTCCAAGCTGGGGAAGCCGCGACCTTCACATGTGCCTGCAACCTGGAATCCTGCGAAACAGGTTCAACCCCAAGCTACTCCAATACCAAGGCTGTATTTTTATCTCCATCAAGCAGTGATGATCAACTGCTACACCCCATCCATCAATTCTGTCGCGCTCGGTTGTCTCAACAATGTCTATCCCGTCTCCGCATTCTAGCCTCGGCTCACTGACATCCCAACTAAGAATCTCCCAAGCACTCCAACTAACATAATCACGCCCCACCCAACTATACGTCCAGCTTAAACACCATAACCAACATCTCAGCTCTCCAACATCCAACCCACCACCCACCATGTCCGACCCAAACTCCCCCATCCTCCTCACCTACACCAACAAAACCGCCATAATAACCCTCAACGTACCCAAAAAACTAAACGCCCTCGACGCAGACACCTACTACCTGCTCGCGCGCGCCATGAACGAAGTCGCCGCCCGCTCCGACATCTACATCACCATCCTAACCGGGCGGGGCCGTTTCTTCAGCGCAGGCGCAGACGTAACATTTGGCTCTACAACCGACAGCAGCGCCATCGACGAGCGGCACCAGTACCTAAAGTCCTTCGTATCCAACAACCTGCACATCACACATGCGTTTTACACGCATCCCAAGATACTTATTACGGCGCTGAATGGACCGGCGGTGGGACTGTCAGCGGCGCTGATCGCTTTTAGCGATTTCGTGTATGCGGCGCCGCATGCGTTTTTGCTTACGCCGTTTAGCTCGCTGGGGCTTGTTGCTGAGGGCAATGCGAGTATCGGGTTTGTAAGGAGGTTGGGTATTTCGAAGGCGAATGAGGCGCTTATTATGTCGAAACGCATCACTTGCGATGAACTCGTGGCGACGGGCTTCGTCAACAAGGTCATCAACGCTGGCGTTGATGTCAAGGATGAGAGCTACAGTGACAGGTTTCTGGGCGAGGTTAGGAAGGAAGTTGAGGAGAGGCTGGGTGATCATCTCAACAGCGAGAGTTTGGTGCTGATCAAGGAGTTGATTCAGAAGCCGTATCGGGAGGCGTTGGATCGACAGGGCGTGGAAGAGGTGATGGGAGGTTTGCAGAGGTTTTTGAAGGGCGTGCCACAGAAGGAGTTTGCGAGGTTGGCGAGTGGAGAGAAGAAGCATAAGTTGTAGGGTTGGTGAGGCAGTGTTGGTAAGAAAAGGGAGATCTACAGAGCGCACTTGTCACGGAAGAATGTTTGGAGTGGTAGAAAAGTGGAAAGATGAAGGCGTATGCCATAGTCTCTAGCCCAACGACACACCCTCCGTAGCCAACAGCTCTCCACCCAGTGCATCCCCTTGAGTAGGACTCGCAACATCCACAACCGGTCTACTTGCCGTTGTCGTGCTATCCGCCAAATTCTCCAGTGGACTCGGTCGATGCGGCGGCGGTCTGTTCCTCTTCTCCTCCTGTAGCTGGTGCTGCACATAGCTCGTGTACCGTAGCGCAACGAAGAGCATAAATGCACTGACACCGACTGTGATGGCTGCGCGGCGGGTAAGCACCCAGCGGACGCCTTCGACCTCGGATCGCGCGTCAGAGTTGAGCGCGACGGTGATTTTGTAGTTGAGTTCTTGGATCTAGAGAACATTCCTGTTAGTAGGTTGCGCCGAAGAGAAAATGGGATGATCATACCTTGGTCTCCATAACCCTCTGTTCCTGCCTGACAGCCATCTTCCTGTCGTCGAAAAGCCCCTTAAGCTCGTCTCTGAGATGAGTCGTCTCCTGTCCTAATCTCTGCCCTAGAATATCGACCTCGTGTTGCAATTGCCCCCTTTCCGTGCGCATCCTCTCCATCTCGCCTTTCTTCGCGTTGCCTATCTCCGTCTTCAGTTCGCTGCATGCGGCCCGGAAGAGGTATGTTTCGTTTTCCACATTGCTCTTGCTGACGAGCTCCTTACGCGCCAACTCCATGTTGTCCAAGAGGGTCTGTCGCACAGCTTTCATTATGGTAATGGACTGCTCGGGGGTGTATGAGGATTGCGAGAGCTTGCGCACGAGACCGTAGGTATCGAAATGGTGGACATATGGCGGTGTCTTCAGGTGCGGTGCCTTATGCGACTCTTCTTCAGCGGCGGTGGGAATGTGCAGAACGCTGTCGACGGGTTTCGTATCGCTCTTCTTGGGAGGGTCAGGCGCCGGCGTTGTTGGTGGGGCGGTTTCTTCTGTTGCGCTTGCTTGAGTAGGCGTGTTTGGACTTGTTGTTGCTGTTGGCGCATCTTCCTCTACTTCTTCGTGTTCGTGAACGGGGTCTTGCGGGGGTTTCTCGTTGGTGACAGGCTCCTTTTCTTGAGGCTCTTTCGGGGGCTCTTGGTCCAATGCTGGAGCTGCGTGCTCATATGCTTTCCCATATCGTTGTGTGCTCGGTGGCTCCGATCGGCGGGGCGAAGTTGTGAAATGACGACGTGCTTGTCGCGTGCGGGAAACTGATGGCGATGCACGCTCTTTTGTTATCGACGCGCCTACTCGTGACGATGTGGTCGGCTGAAACAGCATAGGCCATAGGAACGGCAGTCTTGGAGCAGCCATGTTGTCGTGTCGTGGAAGTTGCGAAGTTCGAGCTCGAGGTGGAATCCTCAGATGCGACTTCGGGTAGTATAGGCCTTGGCGGGGGATCTGCCATCCTGAAGTGGATATCCATGCCGAAGCACCACATTTCGACATCGGAGGAAAGGCATCATCTCAAACTTGTTCTGTCATACAAAGCTGCACGATCCTGTTGAGACTGCAAAGATGTATATTGCGATCTTTTGAGGTATTCTAGACACGTAACTCATGATTTTAATTTCTGTAACTCATAACCGAAACATCGGTCGTCTTTCGTCATATACAATATAGTAAAGGCAATCAGAACTTTTTGATCTAGGCCTGTGCCTCACCAGCAACTCCGCGCAATGCTAGTACTCAATCTCCTTCTCATGATACCGTAAAATCAACAAACTTTTGTGAGGTCATAAAACCCCTGGGTATATGTATATGTGTAAGACTTGTCGCAACACCGGGAACAAACAACTTTTGGTCTACAAAATCAAACGTCGTGCGAAGAGCTACTGATGGAACTGCGACTAGTCCCATCGGTGATATGCGTCGCGATACTCATGCGCTGGAATGGCGAAATTTGGTTTTGTTCGCGAGACGGGGGACTTGACAATCCCTGACTGCCTGCAGGCGACGAAGGTGGTGGGTGGCTTGGTAGAGCATCATTCGCGCCATAGCGTTCTCGGAGACGCTTAATTTCGCGAAGTCGGTTACGCCAGGACGATATGGAATCACCACCTTCGCGGATGTACCAAACGCTGGCAAAGACAACGGCGTTAATAGCCATGAGGCGGCAGTAGTCCGCCAGATACTTTCCGCAAAGAATCTTGGTTTCGACGGCAGGAGATATGTCTGGGAACCCTGGCTTTGAGATGGTCTGGATCTTGTAGTAGCGATTCCTGCCGTCGGGATCTGCATCCAGTCGACGGTCGACAAAGCTGGCCCTTGACTCTGGAGAAATGACAATATGTACATAATTGAAGGCCGACGGGAACGTGTCGAAGTTGTAAGGTAAGCCAGAGTCGTTGAAGATAATATTGACAAAGTCGTTGCCGATGTGTCGCTTTTTGTTTGGATACGTCATGTCGTCGTCGGGGTTGGTTGGCATCATTGTAGGAATGTGGAAGACAAGCTCCATGCAGCGGTCCCGCCAAGCATAGGTGAACTCGCCGTCCCTGTCTTCGCGTGTGTCGAGACCACCAGTATTGAACTTCGCCCCCTTCAGACGGCATAATGTACCTAGGTCACTAAGGAAAGCAGTATATGCTGGGGATCCCATATCGTTCATGAAAATGTCTCTCTCGTTCGTCTGGCCCTCGCCGATGTAGATGACGCCTATTTTGTAGTTGTCTACCGTTGCGATCCGGTCGAATACAGTAATAGCACGGCGTGTCGGCTCGTCATCGGGTAACGGAATAGGTGGATTGCTCAGGTCGAGTGGGGCGTAAAATGACTGGAAGATATCGTCTGGCAGAATTCCGACATATGTGTTGGAGTAGAATGCTTGGGAAGCAAGGCCGATGGTGATCGGAACTTGATGTCGTGGTGGCGACGTGATCAAGGGCCGTACTTTGATAAAGCGGGTACCGCACTGCCAAAAGTTAGTAGATGTACTGACAACACACAAGCAGAAAGACTTACCGGCCGGCGTGTCGTGACAACAGAGGCACCGGTTCTTGCAGCGGTCTCTATTGTCACAAGAGCATTACCAACGATCCATGTCTTCTTCCAGACTTCTCCATCGCCAGGCTTGAAGGAACTTTCCTCGCGTGTTGTTTCATCGCGATCTGTATATGCTACCATGTTCATAATGTCCAGAATGACCTGTCCTTGCTCCTCCATAATTTGCCGTCCGGAGCTGTCGGTATAGTGTAGATTCTTTGTGATCCATGGTATCTGCTTTGGGCGGTCCTCCATCTTCAACGCCATGAACCAAAATGTGATGACGTAATACGCGAGGGAATATAGATACTGAGGTAGATCGTCCTCGACGCTTCTTGGCTTGTTGGCCCCAAGATCGGGCGATGCCGCAAAGTCTCTTGATGCGCCGCTGTGTCGCAATGTCCGATGCCCGCTTTGTAGCGAATGCCCGTTCGCTGTCCGGTCACGCTGGTCGCGTATGTGTTGTAAGTACCGGAAGCATACACCGAAAACTAGCTTGAACTCGTCTTCGCGGAAGTTCTTGAAAAGTTCTGGAAGACGAGCCAAGGAGGTGAGGAATTCCAATATGTGTATCGCTGTAGCTGGCTTCGTGAT